AAAAAAAAAAAAATGGAATTTGTAATATTGACAGTGAAATTTTTCTTACTAAGAGGTTTATTGTTTATCTGTAAAAAAGAAACATTTGCAAAATTCAGAGAATAACTTTCATTTATAATTGTTGGAAATTTTTCAACAAATTAATTTTCTGGTTGCTTTTATCCATCAATGCCTCCCTTCTCTGTTTCCCCTTTTTTATTCCCTAAGTAGAGGTCAGAATCACATGCCATAGATTGTCTCTCACAGATTTTTACTTGCCAGTTTGGTTCCTTGTGATGAGATGTTGACAGAAGTATAGCCTATGGGCCAATCCCACCAGCCACCTGTTATAATTATATAAAGCTTTATTTGAACACAGCTATACCTGATTATTATGTGTTGTCCATGGCTGCTTTCACAGAGTTTAGTAGTTGTGATAGAAGCTGTATGGCCTGCAAAGTCTAGACTATTTACCATCTGGCCTTTGTTTTTAAGAAAAAGTTTGCTTACTCCCGTTTAAGAAGATAAACCTAAAACTTGGGTTTTACTGTATCAAAAATTAATATTAAAATTTTTAAAGAAAGCCCTTAAATAAAAGTCTCCTTAATAAAAATCTTTATATGAAATGTTATTAGAGCAAATAAAATCCATTTTTAATTATATATTATGTATAGAGAATATTACTCAAAGTTTTGTTTAAACTTAACTAACTTTGGTATTGGAATGAAAAATATGAATCAAGGGATGCCTGGGTGGTTCAGTGAGTTAAGTGTCTGCCTTCGGCTTGGGTTGTGATCCCAGGGTCCTGGGATTGAGTCCCACATTGGGCTCCCTGCTCAGCAGAGAGTCTGCTTCTCTCTCTCCTGCTTCCCCTGCTTGTGCTCTCTCTCTCTCTCTGACAAATAAATAAAATCTTTTAAAAAAAAGGTAAAAGTATGAATCATATTTCAGCCTTCACCTTTGTAGGTTTAAAAAAAATCTTTTGGAAGGAATATACCCAAGAGTGAGAGTTAATGGAGATAGTAGCTAAGTTTATACTGTTATGATCCAGCTGGAATGTTTTGATTTATTAAAGTTGTCTAGGGAAGGTAAAGTAGTTGAGCCAGTGAGAGATAGCCCTTCTCCTTTGCCTTTGTCTAAGGAAGGAAAAATTGAGCCAATGAGAAATTGCTAGAGCGAGCGGTGAGAAGCTGCTTCTGCTCTGTGGTGGTGGAACAGGTCACGGTGATGTACCCTGAAAGGTCTCAGCTCTATTCATTGACTGGAACCGTTGCTTTGGCATTAGATCCATTCAGATAGTGTGACGACTGGAGATCTCACCCAACTTCTCTTTCCCTTGCTTGTAAAGGGGTCCACAGATCTGAGTAATGGTTCAGAAGGTAACGTTGAAGACAGAACAACCATAAACCAAATCTTATTTCAAGGGGAAAAATGAGATAGAGCAGGAATGGCTCACCATGTCTAGGGACCAGGTGAACTTGGTAGACCATTTTTTTTTTTTTTAATTTTAAAGATTCTATTTATTTATTTGTCAGAGAGATGGGGCGGGGAGAACAAGCAAGGGGAGTGGGCAGGCAGAGGGAGAAGCAGGCTCCCCACTGAGCAAGGAGCCTGATGCAGGACTCCATCCCAGGACCCCAGGATCATGACCTGAGCCGAAGGCAGACGCTTAACCGACTGAGCCACCCAGGTGTCCCCATGGTGGACTGTTCGTTGTCCATTTTGTTTATGGACATTATAAATGGGTTGGTCTTCCGTTGTTAAGGGCTGGGATTTGTTTGAACTCTCAAGACAGGCTAGGGAGAATTGTGGCTTTTGTTTTTTCAGGTTAATACATAGATAGCCCATGCTGTCAAGGTTTTCATGATCTCAGTTCGCTATACAGCAGTTATAGTTGCTGTCAGTGATGTCTTCACGTGTCGTGGAGCAATGCATGTGGCTTTTAGGTTGGATATACCTGGATTCACATCCTGGCTAATGACTAAACTTACCTTTGGGAGCTGAAGAATAGAGAGTCATATATATTTTCTAAGAAGGAACTTAGAGGATTAAGAGGAAATACGACAAAAATGAAGTTACTTATATTTGCATAACTGGGCAATTCTAGTCCACTATTTTTATCAGTATAATCCCATCTCTGCAACTGCAGTTCAGAGAACTTTCTTTCTTACTGGTTGAACAACATCCATGGCTTTAAATTGTGTGGCCATATCCACAAGTATAGGAATCCTTATAGAGGACAAAATTTTTGAACTCTGGACCATCCTAGAGAATCCCGCCAATGGGGACTTTAATTGTTGCAGTCCTGTAGTCCTGTATCATTTTGTTTGGTTTAGTTTTAAAATTATATCGGTAATACATGAGCATAGTCTCATCACAAAACAAACAACAAAATACAAAAAAGAGTAACAGGCCCCCATGACTACTCCCTTACCTGTACCTCCTCACCTGTCTCAGTACCTGTCCCTAGGAGTAACCACTGCTGGGTTTTTCTTCACAGTTGTACTGTGCCTTTTTGAAGTATTCTAGTAAGGAGATGAAATAAAGGCTTTGTTAGGAGTTAAAACTTGAGGCAGGATAACAGTGAAAAGCTCTTTGTCCTCTCCCACAATATGCATTTACCTTCAGTTGGGAACATGGGTATATATTTGAGGTAAAAATAGTATTTCCCTAGGAATGAAATTTGGATGTAATTAGAATTCCATAGACTATTGTACTAAAATTTGTAAAATCCTTTTACTGTCAGGAAAACTCTGTTGTCACCTATGCGTTATTGACTAAGAAATCTGAAAGCTCAGCGATAGAACACTTATGGCTTGTTTTCCAGATTTGATCTACAAATGAGTTTTATTTGGATTGCACAGTGCTTTAAAACATTTTTTTCAGTTTAAATGTCTTCGTTGGGAATGCTTTCTCCACAGGGTCTACCTTTCCCTATACAGTTTTGCTCACTTTTGGCGCCGCTTGGCCTTAAAAGGCATTTTAATTTGGAACTCCTGTTTTGAGAAAAGGAGAGAAGCAGAGTTAAGTCGAATGGGTTTTGTTTTGTCCACATGTAGCTAAGCCTAAATCCAAAGATTTAGGAGAGTTCCCTGCCATGAACCGTTATTTTATTTTATGTCTCTAATATACGTATATGTGCATCTATATGATTTTCCTTTGATATTACACATTAATCTGTAAATAACATTATTCTTTAAAACGACTGATGTCCAGAGTGTCTTTGCATATTATATAGCATTGGAATTGCTATGTTTTGACGTGTGGTGCTTGATTTCTTAGCTGCTGACTTCAAAAAAGTTTATTTGGTTAAATTCTATTTTTTACCCTCAGCAGTGAGTATGTAGATGTTTGCCTTATTATTCATTAAACTCTACATTTATGTTATTGATACTCTTGTGTGTGTATGATGTCTTAATTTAAAAAAAAAATTTAAGGATTAGTTTATGTTTCTTTTTTCCCTAAGATAAAGCAACCAATAATTTGTTTGCCATATGAAAGAAAATTAACCTCCCTTGAAACTCATTATCTTAACTTATTATTGTCATTAGATGAATAGTGAAAGAGGCTTTGAAAATGTAGAACTGGGAGTCATAGGAAAGAAGAAGAAAGTCCCGAGGAGAGTCATCCACTTTGTAAGTGGTGAAACAATGGAAGAATACAGCACAGATGAAGATGAGGTTGATGGCCCGGAGAAGAAAGATGTTTTGCCTACTGTTGATCCGGTAGGTCTGATGCTTTTTGTCAGTAGTTTTTTAT